TTTTTTAATTTCAATTAAGTTTTTAGATTTTAATATAATGGCACATTTAAAAATATTAATACCGTGCATAAAGAAATAATTAACTTTATTAGTTATTGAGTTAAAATAATAAATTAATTACTTCTCAGCTTCCACTTAAAAAACTTCACATCTATACAAAATCACAAAAAAAATTGACGCATAGCTGATTTACTATGAAACGCATACGATGCGTATTTTTGACATTTTTGGACACTAAACTTTAAAGTATTACTGTATTGATGCATTTTCGAACATGATTTTTACATGAGCCAACAATTTAACTAAATTTAGAGCCTTATCTTGTATCTCGCTATTTTACTTGTCAAGTGAGAACAAAGTGAGTAACTATCACATATTTGTGTAATGTAATATTCGAGTGATTCTGCATTGCTCGTTTTTGTTTCTATCTCTTTTTTTTCCAAAATGTATACAAAATTTATTCACTTTGTTTTTGAAAGTGAGTTGTTCTGTCACTAATTTGAGAAATTATGCAAAAGTCTAATTAAAAAAATGAGTAATCTTATTGGACAAATGAAATATCCATTAGAAAAACAGAGAATTCTGATCTAAAAGTGAATAGCAAGTGAGATTGCTGACTAGCATCATAAAACATAGTAGTCATAAAATATGAAAATAAGAAAAAATGCTATACAAATTTATCTACGAATTTATTTATTATTGCTTGAATACGTGGTATTTGCGTTGTTCTAGTTATATAATTAAAACTGTAAAGTACTAAACAACTGTGATTACATTTGATAACGATACACAAATATTGCCAATAGAACCTTATTGTTGAAGAATTTACAAAAAAATGCTAAATATAAAGCTAAATTAATGCAAATCTGCACATTCAATTTCCATGAACAAAAATTTAGTAGATCCACCTTAAATAAATATAAATGGTGCTCGAGTAATAATCCAAAACATAGCAAAATACCTGAGAATAACACTGAATGCCAACCTCAGGTGGAAAACTAATTGATCCTAGGTCGTGGTGTAAATTGACAACATGCAACAAAGTGGTGACATATCATAACCAAATAATAAAGGCTTTATGGATATATATTGCATCCAACTGCAAAGTAAAAACATATCGCATAAATACAAACTTTACAGAACACAGTCCTTCTTAATATGGTAAGAGTTCTTTGGTCAAAATCATCTTCATATTGTCAAACAAAAAATTTACAAGCCGCTGAACAAAAAGCGGCTGGAATAAGACGTCAAGCTAAAAATAAATGCTGTATCAAAGAAGCAAGGGGATAGGTGTTTTGCGATGAACCTTACTACTTTGCAGCAATTAAAACGAATGTAAAAAAAATAAAAAAAAAGTTATACCTAAAGAAAGAAATCTAAAATTAATGCTGGTAGCCAATTATAATACGACTATAAGCCCCTAGTGCGAGTCGCACTAGTTTCAAAAATTTTTGAAAATATTAAAACAAAATTAACACGTTATAACTATAAAAAATAAAAAAAATACTTACGTTGAGTTCCATCGCGTAACCCATGAGTAAATCTAAAAGGATTCGTAGAGTCCGTGCTCACCCGTGACCGACTTACTTTCAGTCTCTGTATCATATTCTTAATCGTAATCCTACAATTTATTAATTAAGAATATGATATCCCTGTATAGGGATATCATATAGGGATATCTTATTCTTAATTGTAATCCTACAATTTAGAAAAACTAAGTATATGTGTAAGTAAAAGGGCTACATATATAAAATTTTAAGTTGTTTTTTTTTAATTATATATTAAAAAAATATATCTATATACCCGCAGTGCTCATTATAGTAAATCAATGAGTAGTGATTTAAAATGAACCTGAATTTAAATTTCAAAAAAAAAAAAACAAAGTTCACCTCTCTATGCTCCAGCAGTATGACTATGAGTATAGTAATTGAAATAAAGCGAAACGTATAGATGTCATATCCACATTAGGTTCTATATAAACTTAATATATTAATTAACATAATACATTATAATATCCCATGTGAATCAATGTAATGCAAGTATGCAACCTAGAAATGCAATGTAAGCATGCAATGTAATGCAACCTAGAAAATGTAAATTTAGTTTTTATCAGAGACCCAATTTATGCTAACCAAACTCCCTGAAAAGTTCGTCAGTTCGTTAAATTTTTAAGCATCAAGAAATTTCATTAATTAGTTCGATTTGTGAGCCCTGACATTCCCTAAAAAATTTGTAAGTTCATGGTGTTAACACACTGAGTGTAAACGATTAAACAATTATCAAGTTACACTGGATGTGTTGTAATTTATGCAAAATTTATCAAAATATTAGATCAAAAAAATTTGAATTTAACAAAAAGCTTTGGGTATTATAACGTAGAACTCAAATAAGTAGAGAAATAGTTTTTTTTTTCTACTTAGTACAAATCTCCTCCACAAATCAAACTTAAGATTTTACAGAATTTATACATTTTTGAAAACAGATTAGAAGAAAATATTGTGCCTTGTAACAAAAATTTTACATCCGATGATTTTATTCAATTATATAGACTTTTATTATTATATGCTATTATTGTAGCAAAATCAGAAAGATTTTTTAAACTCTGCAAACACAAAAAAGTAGTGGTTTGCTTCTTCTGCAGCGGCATACCATACGTAAACTTTACGAAAACAAAATGGACGTTAAAATTTTCCGTTATCACAATCCGTTTTTTTCCAAATTTTTGATATCGTTTTGATAGTTGATGTTGGAGTACTTAAAATCAATAAAAATAGAAAATAGTGACAATTTTTTGATTTTTTACATTTTTAGAATTTTGACATAGAAGTGGCTTTTATGCCCTTAGAATTTTGACATAGAAGTGGCTTTTATGCTATATCACCTATACCATAAAATATTTTTTAATGTTTCTTGACTTAAATTAAAGCTTAAGAAAGTGGCCAACAAAAAAATTTAAAATTTCTGAAACTTTCAAATAAAATTGTGGGGATGGAAAAATTAAAAAAAAAAACAATTGTAAAAAATTGGGGTCTTTCCAAAGTTGATGTTCCGAAAGTACATAAAATGCAAACTCACGTAATATGTTGGTTTCAAGCCCTTTACTAGTCCTTTCAGAAACTGTTCATTTGAAGCCTCTATCTTTTCCAGAAGTGAAGTTATAACCACAAAAGCTTGGACAAGTAAAAATTTCGTGAAAATTCGGTAAAATCCCTGTATCTCGGAAACTGTTGAGTTTTCACAACTAGTTCAAATTTTACTCATTTTTGATGCCCTAAACAATGATACATAATATTGTACTCTTTACTAAATAACGCTGTATATATAGCTACTTTTGAGATGTGAAAAGTATGGGTACGACTAGAAAGGCCAAAGAATTGGGACAAAATGCATTAAATGGGATTTTGCGAGCAAGATCACTACAAAATCTGATATTGGAACTTTTTAGACCGGAAATAGCCCTATTTTAAGATTTTCTGTGGCCATTGTTCGAACGAAAAATTCTAAAATGCTAAAGTGTAATACATGCATATATATATGTACATACATATATTTGAATAAAATTAATATAACTGAATAAATGCCTAAACCTTTTCTTTATTTGAAAAACTTGTTGCCTGCACGGCTCTCTACACCTGGAGAAAATGGCAAGAAAATGGTTGGGAGGTGGTGGGGAGTGAAACTTATCATGGTTATGTGTTGTACACAGCGTTTGCGCGACCAATCCTCACCTATGAAGGGCCTGTATGGTGGCCGGCGATGAAGAACCTGACTGCCAGCTGCGCCGTCAGACTCAGGAAAACTGGAAGTGATTCCTTTTAGGAGTTTTGAGGTGGTTTTATGGCTCCAAGTTTGGGAATGGGATTGGCGCTGGAGTTTTCTCCTTGAAACATAGGGTGTATAAAGCGTATCGACTTCCTAACGGGTCGAGTCTTTCAGGTAGAAATTTTTGCCATATTGCAAGCATGCGAGAACTTTTAAGGGTCTCCCTGTTGTAGTCCAGGTAATGTCGGAATAATGAGGGACAGTCGGACCGCGATTCTGGCTCTCAGGTCGCACAAGATATTCTCTAAGCCACTGGCCACCGTAATATAGTGGGAAATGAACGAGTAAATAAACTGGCTGATTGTGGTTCAACCATGGTAATTTTCGTGACGAAGCGGGTTTTTGTTTCCATCAACACAGTGAAAATGAATATATGTCCTGTCCACAGCTCTGTGGCGGGTTTGGATAAGATTTATCGAAAATTAGCATCGGGTATTCAGATAAATTCCCCATGAGAACCGGGTAGCTAAGATAGGCCACCTGTAATCGTACGCTCAATGACAGCCTGGTGCCTGGGGATCACGATAAATAAACTGGCTGAGTGTGGTTCAACCATGGTAGTTTTCGTGACGAAGCGGGTTTTTGTTTCCATCAACACAGTGAAAATGAATATATATTCTGTCTACAGCTCTGTGGCAGGTTTGGATAAGATTTATCGAAAATTAGCATCGGGTATTCAGATAGGCCACCTGTAGTCGTACGCTCAATGACAGTCTGGTGATCACGGGGTAGTGGTAGCAAAACGGCACATTTGTTCTAATTGAGGTGTGTTGGACCTGCCGCACCTGCCACGTCAACTAACCAACTTTTTTACGTTACTTTAAATACTAATTATTTACCATTTTCATTTTTTTACTTATATTTACTTATACATACTTATATTTTCAAACCGATATGAAATATTTTGGAAAAATTTTATATTATAAAAAAAAGTATTTAATAAATTTACAATAAATACATACATAAATAAAAAATCTTGCTTTGGATAATTTTTAACGCATAATGAAAAATAAAAAATTAAAGCTAACATTTTTTATTAATTTCAAAAACTTTAATATAGGGATATTTTTATTTTTTATACTGTTCTTTCTGAATACTTGACTCTTTAAATAATGTATCGAAGTTTTACGTACGAAGTTATATTAAAAAATTAAATTAATTAAGCTATAATTACTTACATTTACTTTTCTTTTCAATTGTTGTAACTTTATTGTTTATATATTATACATCAGAAAGGCAAACTGAAATATTGACCCGCATCAGGGGCAATTTTCAATCTCTATAAATAGCGCGATGGTCCAGTATTGTATGATCCTTGTGGTGGTGGTCCTTGTTGTTGATTTGGTTGTATTTGCGCTTGGCCCCCGGGATTAGCATGATGATGTAAATCAAAAGGTGAATCTGAATGGTGCATATATTGTTGATAACCAGTAGGCAATTGGTGCTAAAATAATTTTTTACATTATTATATTGCTACGCATATAATTGAATTGTTAGATATTGGCAAGTTAACTCATTTACTAATTAAAATATTTAAAAAAAATTGTTTTTCGAATGTTATTAATTTATTTGGGCTGCGTCATTTCTGTGAGAACTCAAATCTTTTATTAATTATAAACAATTCGCTAGATTATAATTAAGGATACGACATAAAAATTAACAGAAAATAACAATTTTACAAATCTTGGAATTATTATCTACCATATATACACTAAAGTGAATCACTATAATCTTTGATTAGGCTATACTTAATTTGAAAACAACTTGCTATACGTAATTTAAAATGAAGTTAAACGCAATAGATTAGAATTTACACCAGTTCAGAGTAAAAATGTTGTGTTTAATTGTTATCGCATTGAATTACAACGTAGAAACCAGCAAACTTTTAACCTTTCGCAAAGTTCTGCGATTGCTAAGGTTTTTAACAAAAGCATATAAAGCGTATGGGATAAACGCAAATAGATGCACATAAAAAATTGTGGTGGTACACACAATGCAAATCCACACGAACCAAATTTTTCGAAAAAAAAGCAAAAATAATCTATTTATATGTAATGGTGTTATAATCATATTGACAGTTGATTTTTGGCAAAGATTTCTAGGGATTCCACAATTAACTCCGATTGGCGAACTTAATCTATGTTCCTAACAATAAAATTATGCAAATATAAAAATTTAATAAAATTTAAGGAAAACCGATCTAAGCCCTTTTGAGGCAAAATTGACATTAGCCCTTATTATGAAAAAAATATATTGTACGATACACGTTATTTCTGATAGTTAAACGTGACTTCAATAATGCGTTATAAAAAGTTTAAGTAAGTAAAAAGTATGTATTAATATTGTAAAAATTGTTTTCCAAAATGTATCAAAAGCTTTAGCAGTTTTTTTACAATGTAAAAATATTGAAAGCTCTGAGACGGTAGCAGAATCGTATTAATATCGTACTTAAACTTTTTTTAAACGCATTATTGAAGTCACGGAGTTTGACGTTTGTTCGAAATTTTAATTTAAACTTCCGTGCAAATGTCATATCATTAAAAGCATTGCATTTTTATGCTGCATTTTAGGAAAAAATCTTAATAAGTAGCATTTTATTGCCGAAAATATATGCTAGTTTATTTAATTGGTTATTTCTGGCAACATTTATATGAATGTATAAGAAAAGCGTGTTCGATTTTTTCGATACCCGATTTACTTTTATTTTACATATCCACTACGAATAGAACGCAAACTTTTTGGAACGTAGTACTTTGTAAAGATTACGTTGTAAGCGCATTATTGAAGTCACGTTTATTGTGTGCTAGTATTATGAAATTTATTTATCGGTATTGTATCTGACGATTTATCGTATTTCGAAAGAGCTTTTTTTTGTTATACATTTGCATGTAAATTAGCATTTATCGTATTATGAAAAATTTATTTTTGGGATTATCCGATAAGTTTTATCGGGTAATTTTTAGTATACGATAGCACACGAAAGTGATTTTACAAATAGTTTTTCGGTTAATAAAACTGAAAATGTGTAGGTTTTCCTCTATTATTAACAAAATTGAAAACTATAAGCTAAGATAAATTTAATTTTGTATTTTTGGGAACAGAATTGTCAGTAATAAATCTCAACTAAATAGGATAACTAAAATAATGGAGGAGAATTTAGATATTGCAAGAAATGTTTGTTCAAAAACTTGTGTTATCGATTTTGGATCAAAATTTTCAATGAATTAAATAGTATAGGACCTCTAACAATAGATCTCTAATCTTTCTTCGTGTGATTCTTACTTCTTGATGTAGTTCATTCGTCTTCGTCTTAAAAAAAAACTCAGCTGATAACGTTGTATTATTTTATTTTATTTAAAACAAAACTTATCTTATTTTTAAATTTTTCATATATATTTCTTTATATTTCATATGAATTTAAAATCTTTGAATATGCCAAACAACATAATACACACATCAATGAAGCTTTATCTATTTTATCGCTTTGCTTTAATTTATCGGTTATCGGTTCATAATACTACGATAAAATGATAACAATACGATATTGCTTTCGCATACCGTATATTCTAATATTGTATTTTTTCTTAATAAGGGCCATTGGTAATTGCAAATTGATATTGATAATTTCTGCTGACACATCGTTTGGGTACATAACATTTTCTGTCAATTTTTACCATTTTGAAATTTACGAAAACTATGTCGCGTAGAGTGGATGTTTTTTGATGGTCTCAAATTGTTGATGCCATGAAATAAATTTGCTGATTCGAAATATAGTAGATACAAATCAGTTGAATTGCTGTCATTACCTGGATAACGTTATTAATTATACAAAGGAGATTTTACATTCTCTGGAAATTTATGGATTGCCAACACATAATCTATATTTATAATTCTAATAATAATCTATATTTATAAAACTAACATGTCTTTATAATGACGCCCGACTTGTGGTGTAGAAATCAATGAAAAAGGTTATCGAAGCCAGAATTTGGAGAAGAAGCTACATGAGCGAATAAGAAAGTATACAAATCCCTTCGATTCCGAACCACTTCATTAGCGTGTAAAAATTAGATAAATGTTTTTTGTGAATAAAGTTTAGTAAAATTCACAGTAAAACAAAGGTACATACTTCCTTTTCAGTTTAAAAATAATTTTTTCAAATTAAACAATTAAATAACTCCAATTTATAATTTGAATAACTCTAATCATAAATATAATTTTAAAACGATTAATATAAAATAATATGAAGTAATTAATACGAAAAAACTGAAACGATTATAATAGAATAACCCTGTAAAGGTATTATGAACTTACTCATAATGAGTTTTTATTGAAAGCACTAACAAAACTTTACAAGCCATTTCCAAAAAAAAATCTAAATATATTACGCAGGTAGATGATTTCAAAATAATTATAATATTACTTTAGAATAACTATCAATAAAAGAAAAATTTAAGCGAAATTCCATAGAAAAATAATTTACATTTGATAATTAAAAGATTAAAGCATGTAAGCAGAATTTTTGATGTGATTTCGAATTGAAATAATTTAAATTTTTCACCATAATACACAATTTGATTTTCTAATAACCAGTATTAATTCCTACGAATTAAAATATTGAAACAACAGGTTTCAAAATCGATAATGTCAAGTGCAGGTCGACATTAATTGCATCTGATGGTCTCCAATTAGCAATCAACAATTTATGCTAAAACAAACTTTTACATATCAACTTTCGTATACAACTTTTTTACGCAATCGGTTGAAAGCTGCTTTGGCAACAAACTATTTTTGATTAGAATATATCTACAATTAAATTTCCTTAAATAAAATTAATTATCCTCTTCAAAATTTTGCACAAAAAACAAAATCAGCAGTTGAAATTTTTTTATTACAGAAATCCATTTGCAATTGACATTATTAATTACAGGACATTATTGTTTTTTGCATTATCAGTTGCAATACAAATGTAGAAATCTATTGATAACCTTAAAGTTACAATGCTTTTATTAATTCCAACATCATTTAAGATGCAAAAGAATTCAATTCATATTTTAAATTAATGATTACATCAATATTTTAATATTATATTAATTAATTTTTACATTATAGATAGGAGGATTTTGTTTACTCATTTTGATTAATAAAAGAACAACAAAAAATTTTCAAAAGCAACTGACAGGATGTTCGAACTTTTTGAGATAAACAGACAAAATCTCAAACATGTATCTAAATATTTGAACAGTACTGAACTTTCAAAAACATCTTTTTTATTGTGCGAGCATTGTGATTTTAGTCACACTCATTTTATTTCTTTATTATTGAGTACCTTTTTTATTTAAGTTATTACACTTATGATACAGATTTATATCAACAAGAAAACAGTACCTGCAAATTCCTTAATGTACTAGAACCTGCCGTTGCGCTTCCCATTATGTGACTAGGCCCATCACCCAAATCTAAATGTAAACTATCTTGTTGCTCAGTCCCGCTACTAGCTAAATGAAGTTGACCAAGTGAAGCAGTTGCCTACAAAAATTAAAACTAATGAAAATTTAAGAAATTCTTTATTAAAATACAAAACTTCAGAACATCGAAGATAAATTAGTATATTTAATTGTAAATTACCATTGCAACATCAGGCATCATTTCAGATAAATGTCCTTCCGCACAAGAGTTTCCATCTCTATTGGCACTCTCTATCCCTGGTTCATCAATTGTTGAAGGAAAACGATAATCTCCCTCCGTTATTAAGGATGGTAGCTCAGCTCTAAAACTACCAGTTGATACTCTACCACAGTGGCTAGTTGCAATGCCATTACTACTGACTCCATTTTCTTGTTGACGAGGAAAAGTTAAATTTCGACTGTAACAATGAGAAATATTTTGTACTGAAGAATCTGAACTGTCACGCGCACTTAGCCGACGACTGTTTGTATTGTTGTTAATTTTTCCGGAAACAATACGCATTGTTGGAGAAGGGGGTAATTTTTCATCGTCCACTGTTAAGTCGTCAGTTTGATTTGTCGATATCGGTAATTCATCAATACATCCCACACCAGTTGTGCTTCCATTTCCTGTACATAAAGAGTTAATAACGGACCTCTCCAGCAAATCAGCGACCTCGTCAGGTAAATTGAATTCTCGTACAACGCGTAAACGAATTTGACGATTTATTTCATGTTTTGAAGACAACGATAACATCATTGCTCTTTGACACATTGGAGATTGACGTAATTTATATTCTCTTTTGATCATAGCTTGCATAATTGCATTATCCGGAGCAGGTATTGTTGCTGCCAATGACAATATATCAACGTTAGTCTCATTTTGAGAAACTACGGCACTGGCATTCATTCTTGATACCATATATAAAGTATCAGGAATGTCTGGCAAATGCCTTGATCTTCTCATTCGCATTAACTCGAACTGATTATGATGCGAGGACGCCATTCTATCTTCGAATAAGGCTTTGACCTCTTCAAAGTACGGCATAAACAATCTAGGGCGAACAAAAAGACCTTGATTTTTACCTCCCCGAATCCAAGCATTTACCCGAAGATTTTCTCTTTCGTCACCAATCATATGGGATGGCGGCGTACTAACTAAACCCCGCCGAATAGACTGGCACAGAATTTCGTTGTTAGGAGGCAAAACATGATCCATACGAACTAAAGGTAACAGTTCGGATAATATTTCTCGCAATTCCACATCACTGAGATCCCTTTTTTTAACGCCTTTTCGAGTTACCGAATGTGCTGTATGACTGAGAAGATTTGGTTCTCTGTCTTCCATACGTCGGATCAACTCCTGCTCTCCCCATTTTAAAACAGCTTGCAAAACTTCTAGTTCTGATGCTTGCAGAAAATTACTTTGAAGAGCACATATTAATTGAGATTTATCTAATTGTTGCAATACAGGTGAAGACATCACCGACGAGAACTCCTCCCGCAAAAACTGGCATGCTTGCCTGAAAACCCAAGCTGAGCCATGTGATTGACTGCCCCATTTCAGAACAGCTGGAAGTGTTTCAAGGGTCAACCATTCTAATATTAAATCTTCGCAACCTTGGGCCAATATATCCAGCTCCAAAAAACGACCAATTTGATAAAGCTCCATAGCTTCTTCAAGAGGAGTCGGCCGTACTCGTCCCAAATGCGTAAGAGCATGAACTTCACCTAAAAATCAATTATTAGATTTAGTATTTATTATACATTAATGATTTTAATTATGCTAAAATTAATAAACAAATTTAAAGCTTAGTGTTTATCTAAACATGTACTATACTACCCAAACTTCCCGCGCTATTTCCACTACCGGCACCTCTTAAAATTAAAGTTAAATCAACAGTATCCAAATATATAGCATGTAAAAGAATTCTTGCATAACGTTTTGGAATAACAGATTCGTCTAGTACTATTCTTGTCGGCACGTGGAGTGCTCTTTCAGTATATTCATCATTTCTAGTCCTACGTTGAATTAAGTTTCGAAAAAATTGTGATCTTGCGCTTAAAATAGCTTTATGACACGGCAATTCTAATTTCGGCCTAAATCCGTACTCAGAGCTCCCAGAATCTGGACGATGAAAGTCATTTCCTTCAGAAGTAAATACCAATGCAGCATCAGCATAGTCACCAGTTTCCAATAAATAACGTAAATCGTGCTCTAAAGGATTTGGGGTTCCAAAATCATCACTGAGTTGTCGTAAAATATTTGTATCGATAGTCGGATCATGTTGACATAGGTCTCCTGTGTACAGATATCTTAAAAGTGATGAAAACATCAGAACATCGATTGGCGATGATGGCAATTCTATACATATACGTGCGCCTAGTCCGGGACATCCAGCTAATAAATCTCGAAAATAGGAGCAGCGTGATGATAAAATGGAACGATGTACAGGAAAGATGCTACCCCGAAATACTAAATCACAATCGGTGCATAATTTTGTTTCAAACAAATTTGCTAAATCTTGTTTAAATGTTGTGGCTGGAGGTCTAGCTAGTTCCGCTTGAACAGACAAATCTTTTAATGCTGCCAACGCTTCATATTCTTCAAAAAGAGCCGCCAATTCCATGGGACTCCAATCAGAAACGAAGTCCCTTAAAACCCGTGCATGATCACAAGCTTTTGATGAACGCCTTCGGCGTATAAATTTACGTTTCAGTGTTGCAAATCCCGTAACACGTTTTCTTCTATGTTCACGAAAATTATGTGATCCAAGACTTGTTTGTCCAATAGATTGAGTAGTTCCTAATAAAAATAAAATTATTCTTTTAAGATATTAAAAACTTGAGTCAGTTTTTTTCTTGTATAACCTACATAGGATGACAAAATATGCATATAAAATTAAAGTGATCAATTATGAAAACATGGAAAGGTAAAGCAAACTAATTAAATATTTTTAACTTACCTGAGAAGGTGGTGGCAATAGGACAATCTGAAGAGGTTGTAGTTCCCATTTTTGGTCTTTATTTTACTAAAGTTAAAATATGTAAAATTGTTAGAAGTATTCACAAAATATGCAAACACGACATTGAAATTAAGAGTATTTTATACTTCTTATATTTTCTTCTTTTATGTATTTAATCATTTTGATTGAAATAAAATGTCAGATTTATAATTTCCATAGCTTAACTCACCAATACTGTATTCATTTTCCTTAATTCTGCGTCACATATACATAAATCTTTCATATTTGTATATTACAATGCACTACTTTTAAAAAATTACAATTTTGCATTAAATATTGTATATATATATGTACATATGTACTCAATTTAATTTTTCTAAATATGTATATCAAAAAACTATTAAAACTATTACAGCGATGTGCTAGAACAATTTTGGAATTTTATTTCTAATAATTTTATAGTAAGAATTACCAAATTCGATTAAACTACGATTTCAGTTACTTTTACTTTTTCACAGCAGCATATTTTTTTCACTATAGAACTGCGTTCCAGCTCGTGCAATATACCTTTTTTTATTAGCATACTAAATTTAAACAAAGTTTTTACAATAATGTCTAAACATTTTTTTTATATGTAAGTATATATATTTTTTTTAACTTTCCTTGAAAACAATAAACACCCAATGAATTAAATGTTTTTGACATTTTATCGTGAATAGAGGCGTTGCCGTTAATAATATATCTTAATGTCACATTGCAAGTATGTACATCAATGATGCCATATATTTGTAAAATGTAGTAAAAGTAATTTGAAATTTCAATGCTCTTGAAACCAAAATCCCTGTTTACCGAGAATAAGAAAATAAAATACATTATATGTACAACAAAAACGAGTTGAAATGTTAAAACAAAATATAATGTCTTTATATCTAACAAGTCCCAATACTCAATTTTTTTTACGAAATATTACGAATTTTTGGCCTCGTTGTTGGTTTTTCCTTTAAATGCCACTGATCGTGTCATATTTTTTATTATGTTTTCTTTTTTTTTTACGTTAAAAAGAGATTAATATTTTAAAAAATCTCAGGATATTATACACATTTTTTAAAAAGCTTCCCATTTAAATTCTATTGTACGAAAAAGAAAGAAAGGTAGGAGGGAAGAAAAAATGATAAAAAATTTCAAATTCATATTTCAGTATGGTCTCAAATGTTAATGAGGAAGGATGCATGATTTTTCATGCACATTTTGTATTTCCCAATAAGGCAAGTTGAGTAGTGTCGGCTAACAAAAATGTTATTAAAAGTAATATAGGTTGACACATTTCAACAATTTGAATTATCTCATTTCGGTTATTTATACGTTACTTATAAAATTGTTTCAAATAATTTCAGTTAGTTTTTAAGTTATTAAAAATAAATATGTATGTACCTACTTCCAATAAATTTTTTTTAAATAATTATTTTAAAACTATTTCAAACATATTATATTGAGTGCTTCAAAAATTTTGCTGTGCTCTTTTTTCATATTTTATTATCAGGTAAACAAGAGCAATCTATTTATAAAATGTCCCTGCATGTGTATGTATGACCTATCTTAATTCTAAACGGAAAGAATTTTAAAATACCTGAACAAAAATTTTAAAATACCTGTTATTTTACAGTCGGAATTTTTGAGTCATTTGGTAAAATACCATTTATTTCAAAGATAGAAAAATATTCAAATCCGGTCATAAAAATATATGATTGTTTTTTCCAAACATTTTAAATATTTTTTTTTTCTTAGGTAATTGATATAAATGATAGTAAGTTTTTAATATTTTTTCAAATAAAAATAGAGGTAAAATTTTGAAGTTTATATAAAATTTGTATTTAACAATTAATATTTGATTGTATTTTAGATATTATTTTCTAATTTCCTCTTCAAATTTTTTCTTTACTACGTATTTATATCAATATTTAATAATTATCTTTCATTAATTATATTTTCAACTTGACACCACAGTTACTTCCCATATCGTGAGTTAACTTACCCTATGAGAAAAAAAAGCTGTTCACTTAAAAATAATGAAATGCTTTCAGTAACATATAAAACGTTGAAGGCGAAGGTTGTGTTTGTTGTTTTTCTGCTTTTTTTTAAATTTTAAAATAATTATCAATGAAAATATTAATATATTTTTTTGATTTTTCAAATATATTTTCTAAATTTTACCTGCTTTATAATAAGTGTGAATTTATTTTAATATTTCTTCCCAAAAAATAGCCACTTCGATTTAAAAAAACCCATATCAAATAAGGTCGTGCTTTCAAGTTTCTCTCTGAGCATTGGGACTTGTTAGATATAAAGACATTAACAAAATATAAAAAGAAAAGAGAAAATAAATAATACGTACAAACGTCAATTCCCTTTTTAGATTTAGTTTCCGTCTTTAGATTATAGTAGAATAATCCTGAGGAAGAAAAACAGTACAACAGGTCCTTCACAAATAATTGAACTGAATAAATATTGAACAAATAATTATTGAAAAGAATTCTATATAAAATTTTCGACCAAATCAATCTACACATAAAAGAAGATTTTCTATAAATAAAAAATTAATTTTCTAAAATTATAAATCGAAAAAAGCAAGATAAGAAATTTAGAAAAGAAATTTTAAAGTTCATGAGAATAAATAAGCGTTAACACAATTTAATTTTCAACAATTAAAATTGCAAAATTTTTAAATTTTCGAATTATATTTTATTATAAAATCAATCAAATCAAAATAAATGTAATTAAAATGGCGTGCCTTTACAGGGCACTCGAACAAGAGGCAAAAGGAAAGCACAATGGTGGCTCGAAGGATTAAACGACTTTCGTAAAAAATGTAGAACTCAGTTTAACAAGGCGAAGTTCACCGGAGTACCATCTGATTGGTGCGCTTATAGGAATGACCTAAAAAAGTACAAGAAGGAGTTGAGGAGGACTCACAGGTCGACCTGGAGGGAGTTTTGCGGCAGGATTGGAGAGACTGCGGAGCTCTGCAGACTTAGGCGGGTCTTGGCAAGTGACCCAGCCGTGCCAAGCTACTTGATGGCTGCTAGCGGTTCCTAGGCCAATTCCGCTTCGGAGGCTCTGGAGTTTTTCTTAGATGGGCACTTTCTTGAAGATCGTGAAGAGCATGCTCCGAATAGTCATTTTCGCAAGTTCTGCGCAGGAGCAGTGATCACTGAGAGGAGAATATTCTGGGCCATTCGCGGCTTTGATCTATTTAAGTCGGCTGACCCTGACGAAGTAGTGCCAGCAGAACTACAATACGCTGCAGAGGCCAAAGGATCTTAGACCTATCAGTTTAACGTCTTTTCTATTAAAGATATTGGAAAAGTTGATGGACGTATACATAAGGATTAACCTTAATCCAAGGCTTATATCTCCGGCACAACATGCGTATCGTAAAGGGAGGTCAACCGAAATGGCTCTCCACTCTTTGATACACTACATTGAAAAATCTCTGAACTGCAGAGAGTATACGATTGCTGCTTTCCTGGATATTGAGGGCGCATTCAATAATGTCGAGTCGCGGGCTATCATTCAGGCGCTGTCGGGGCTCTCGATTCATGGCTTTCTGATTGCTTTGATAGACAACATGCTGTTGAGCAGAGCCATCAGGGCTAGCTTTGGGGGATTATGCATTGAGCGCTCCGTTGGCAGGGGCACCCCGCAAGGAGGTGTGTTTCTCATCTTCTCTGGAACCTCGTAATTAATCAATTACTGGTATGCCTGGAGGAGGATGACTTACGCTGATGACTTGACTGTCGTGGTGTCTGGAAAGCACTAAATGGGTTGATGCAGAGGGCCCTGAGCCTCGTTTCTGGCTGGGCTGTCGGCTGTGGGCAGACTATCAACCCACAAAAGGCTGAACTGGTTATTTTCAGCAGGAGATATAAGGTGCCAACAATAACTCCGCTGACACTCAACGGAATCCGCTTATCCTTTAGCAGGGAGGCTAGATTCTTGGGTCTAATTCTTGATTCAAAGTTGAACTGGAGATCCAACGTTATGGGGAGAGTAAGGAAGGCAACTATTGCGATTTACTCATGTAAGAAGGAAGAGATGGGGCCTGAAACCAAGCATGGTTTATTGCAGTGGTGAGGCCGATCCTGATGTACGGTGTTCTCAGGCTCTCGAGCTTCTCTTCCATCTGCTGCCATTAGATGTGCTGAGTTGGCAGATGGCTGCAGGATCTGCGATGCCCCATCGATTATGTTCCCTCGGTGCTCTCATTCACGAGGAGTTTTGAGACCTCGATTCCGCTTAGGGAAGCCTGGCTGAACGAGGCAGTTGCTAACGACGGATCGATCTATTTTTACACGAACGGACCCAAACTCGATGGCCGGGTGGGTGGGGGAGTTATTCTGAGCAATTAGATTTTGAGCTCTCCTTCATTTGGCCGGATCACTGTGGTGTATTTCAGGCCGAGGTGGCCGCAATTGTGAAGGCTCTGTGCTGGCTTGGCTGCAATGTCGTATCGTCTGGTGGCGCCAGTATTTTCACTGCCAACCAGACCGCGATAAGGTTCTGAGGTCTCCACGCCTAGAACTGTCCAGGACTGCAGGTCGTCTCTCAACGAGATGGCGGGGTAGTTCGAAATAAACTTGGTCTGGGTACGCGGACATAGTGGGGTTCCGGGGAAGTGTAAAGCGGACGAGCTTACGGCATGGAACTACTCTGGGATTCCTCCTGAAAAGGAGAACTTGGGCATGCCTCTAAGAACCCAAGGGCTGCTGCTGCGCAACGCGGCAGTGAAGCGCACCAACCTTAGATGGACTAATGGAGCAACTAGTAACACGACAAGGAATTTGTGGATAAAGCTGTATACACGTCTCACAAAGGATCTGATGTCTTTCAAAAGGGAGGATACCAGTGCTGTGGAAGGGGTCTTGACGGGCCATTGTCTGATTGACGAACATGCAGGAAGAATGGACCGCCCTGCAAACGATCTTTGTAAGAGTTGCTGATATGAAGGGGAGGAGGAAACGGTGACCCACGTTCTATGCTCATGTCTGGCACTGGCGAACTCCAGGCAGAGATTCATTTAGTCTTATTTCTTCGGGCACGCTATGGACTTAGCGAATGTAAGTGTTAGAAATTTGAAACGATTTTTGAGGGGTTCGGGCTGGTTCAGAAAAGGAGCCGGAGGGAAGAGATCCGTACCATCAGGGAGCCGCGACAACCTAACCTGACCTAACCTAAATAAAATGACTTAAATAAAATAAGCCTAAATTTAATCCAATAAAATTATTGAATAAAATACTTTTCAATATAGATTTTTTTTAAAAAGGAAAAAGTAATTTCGTAAATTTTTTAAAATACAAAGCAAAATAAAATTTTCACACATTTCTTATATGCAGTAAAAAAAATATCATTTACAAAATTTTATAAATAAATAAAGAATTTTTGGGATTTTAAATTAAATATTCTCGTTATGCAAAGGTTAAGGAAAATTAAAATGTCCTTTCGCATAGTCAAATTTTGCTGTAAAAACAAATTAAAATTTAAAAAAAATGCCAGATAACATATTTAGACCAGCTGTATTAAACGAAAATGGAAATATGTAATCCAAATAGTCTAGTAGAACAAATTTCGGACTTAATCGCAAATTACTCTTTTGGCTAGTCTAATTAGATTCAGGTGACCCAGGTGAATTCAGCTCG